TGCAAGTGAAAGTGATAAAGAAATCAGGAAAGCCGACAAAACCGCAAATTGCCATACCATCGAAGTAAAGTTGATCCATGTATCGGCGACTTCCTACAAATGTCGATGGTAGTACAATTCTTTTTCCCTTTTCAGATCCTTGACATTGTAAGTCGTTATTTGGTTGAGTGAGGTTACTGTATTTATCAACTCTTAGCTTTTTTTGGTTTCTCCTTATAAAAGATAACCTCTCTGACTCAAGCATAGTATATCCATCAACCACAAACTGTTGAAATAATCGTCTTGATCTCAACAATGTGAGTGCCTCTTTTTTCCTGGTTTGGAGTCTAAAACAAAGCCACTCCCTTATGGTAAGACGGTTTCTTTTAGAACTATTAGAATTAGAATTACCCGCATCTCTATGAAGCACGTCATGCCTGTATCCATCCTCACCATAAGGAAATAAAAGAGGATATTGATAACTCAAATAGCTAGTATGCAACTCACTAATTCGCTGAAGTTTACGACTTCGCGTCTCCATTATTATGTCTCTTTTTGATGAAGTGTCAACATCTCCAACAATAAGAGCAGCAACTTCTGAAACCGTTGGCAGATTATATACTCGGCCATCGCTAACTCTGTCAGAAATCAACTTTAGCCGTAGATTTTGCACAGGTGCATCTTGCAGTCTTTCCTTAGCCATCCTAAATGATTTTGCGTGCACATTGTATTGGTGTAGCATCGCTGATAATTTGCACACAATCTCTTCATTTATGTCATTTCGATTTCTACAAAAGAGATCAAATTCAATTGAATAATCACGTATAATGAGAAATAATAATTTAATAAATTTGTATGTAGTGTATGTTGATAAAATTAATGCATATGCTAACCTTATTCCTCGAATCCTGTTTTCTATCTCATGCTCAGTATCATATATGTATAACTGAGCAAACTTTGGATGTTGACCTGGCATAGGTAACATGCTTCCCACTCGATGGCATGTTTGGCCCTGTATTTTGAATGTCGGCGGGCCTCGACCATCGTTGACTGCAGGGTCTAAAATTTAACGAAAAGCTAATAAAAAGAAAACACATTTAATACAACATGATCTGATGAAAAAGGAAGAATACGTAAAAGGAAGAAGAGATAAGTAATTTGATATGCGTTTGCTTGAGAGAAATTCACTGTATATCAAAACTCAAAGCCACCCCAGTAAAAAAATACCATGATAAGGAATCAAGTTCAAAAAGCAAATGGAATAAGAGATGATATAACCCAAGTACGAAATGCTATATGAGGTTGTCTTGCTGTTTTTAAAAGAACTTTTAAAAATCAAGTTAGTTTGATGATTATGTTGGAAATGCAAGATATTAGATTTAGAAATGATAATAGCCTTATAACTTATATTCGGCAAAATACAAACACATGAAAGGCTAAATAGAAAGTTATGTATGCTCAAGCTTGCTCTGTAGGGTAAAATAATCAGCTTAACATAATTTGTAATAGCTTAAGTCTCCTAATAACTTATTCAACTATGTATAGTTCATCCTAGTTATTTCTATATATAATAACTTATTCCACTATGCACCGAATTAATGAAATTTAGAATAAGTAATTTTAATTTTAACATTCAGGGAATTGAAAATAGCAAATATAGCTTTACAATAATACAAATGTAAAAGGATTAAAAGGGTAAGAAAGTAAACAAAATAGGCAGCAACTAAACAACAAATACCAAACAGAGAATCAACAAATACAGAAACCAAGAATTAGAGAGTACCTATGCTACTTGGGCACTCAAGGATTTGTGCTTCCAGAGCAGGGTGAATGTAGCTGAAAAGTACACCTAGCAGACATAAAATTTAAAGCCAAGGCTATACCTTGCATTGCAGTGATTTTAACTATTTCTATGGTCGATAATCAATTGAATTAAAAAAAGGAGAGAATAAGACAACACAATTTGTTCAGCAAAAAACAAAGCATAATGAAAAAGTCTCTATCAACATCTGGTCAGCAAAAAGAAAAAAACATTGTTCACCAAAAAAACAAAGCATAAAAAAGTCTCTAGCAACATCAGTTCAAGAAAAATAAAAAAACATTGTTCATCAAAAAAACAAAGCATAAAAAAGTCTCTAGCAACATCTGTTCAGCAAAAAAATCTTTGGTTTCATATAGTACTATCCTTTAGAGGCATGGTTCAGGGTTCACATAATAGAAATTTGGCTCAAATATTCACAAAGTGAATCATTTTCTTTTGGTTCACAGATTCAAAAAGTTAATCATTTGCTTTTGATTTTAAAAGAATTGACAGAATAAAAAGTGAATCACTATTTTATAATATATTGTGGGAATAGATTATTCACTATTGCATGTATAGCTCAAAATAGATGAACAAAGGAGGCTTTATTGAGATGGATGAACACAACCGGACTATGTGAAAATCTCTACAGAAATAAAATTAATAAGTAAAATCATAATTGAGACAAAAGAAAATCAAAAGGAACCAAAAAGTTTTAAAATCATTTTCTTTTGGTTCACGGATTTTAATAACTTTTGATTCAAAAAGTTACAAAGGAGGCTAATTAAACATAATCATATTGATTAATTAATAAGACAAAAGAAATAAATAAAAAAAGCACCAAGGGAAATAACACGGAAGTAACATACAGGCTCTTCATGTATCTTCAGGAAATAACACGAAGTTATTACGTTTTTAATAACTTCGTACATTGCTTTCAAATTTAGAATAAATCATACGGAGCACTTAATTAAGAGGCCGTTTGGTAACACTAAAATCGGCTGAATTGGCTGATTCTGCTGAAATTCATGAAGTTTTGTGTGAAGTAAATGTATTGGCTGATTCTCCTGTTTTATGAAAAAATTATGTTAAAAATATTTATTATTAATAAATAAAATAAAAAACTTTACGAAAAAATAGCTAAAATTATCCTCTACAGTAACTTTAGCCAATACAGCCAGAAAAGTAACTTCAATCTTACTTTTTCTGCTTATTACAGAATTCAACGCGTAAATTCAAAAGTTACGTGTTTGGTAAAAAAGCTGACTCATAAGCCTGATAAATCGAAAAAATGATTTACTAAATGGGCTCTAAATAGAATATAATCGTTTTTTTTTGAAAGATTATGTTCAATACTTAAAATTGCTAGAATTAAACTTTTTTTAGGCACAGTCGATCGCGGATAATTAGGACGGGGCTAGGAAATTTGGAGGCAGGGCTGCCCAAATAGTAGTATAAATGTACAATTTTTGAAGTAAAAGGCATAAAAATTCTTAGACTAAAAATACGGTTTGATACGATTTGGAAAAAATACTACCAAATTCAAACCAAACTGCATATGGTCCGGTTTCGGTTCGGTTTGGTACGGTTTGGTTAAGCCAAGTCATTATGCCCACCCATGGGCCATGGTACCAATGGTCAAATACTAATAAAGTTATATAAAAAAGAAGCTGAATCAGATTGAAATCAACGTTGAATTTACTTATTTTTAGTATTACACTCTAGAGCGTGAAATCAAAATGTATAAATTAGTTGATGAGGCCGATAAGCTGAAAAACATTATCACCCAAAACAGTTCATAAATTGGCTGATATGTTAAATAAATCCTCTTTTTAGTAATCATATACTCACTCCGTCCCGAAAAGGTTCGCTAAGTTTGACTTTCACGTGGATTAATAAAGTAAAAATTGTGTGGTTGAAATTTGTGCAGAGGAGGGAGAATTAACTTTAGCCACATATTCCTTACTTTAAATGGAAATGACAAATCTTGTTGGGACATCCAAAAAAGAAAATTTGGCAAATCTTTTCAGGACGGAGGGAGTATTTTGTACCAAAATAACTTATAGTACGTATATTTTACTAAAAAGATTAAAATATAGTATAGGTTCTTTTGAAAATATATAATTACTTTTTTCTCTTTTAATTATAATTGTCCTTTTATTAGGTTTGTCAACGCACAAATTTGATCATGAATTTCTTTCAATCCTGGTTATTATGAAAATTAAGAGATTTAAATGTTGAAAATTTTAAATAAGAGGAACTTAACAATGTTTTCCCAAAGTTTAACATATAACATTAATATGATCTAAAAAAATATAACATTAATAAATAATATATAATCAAAGTAGAAAATACGAATATTTTAAAGTAAATAATGTTGCAATTAAAGAGAACGAAGTGCCTAAGTGATAAATGCTTTTTTTAATACCACATCATAAAATAATATTAGTTACAATGTTAAATTTTAGTAGTAAAAACGCTGCTCTTCAAAGTTATGACTTATATTTGTGGAATTCCACAATTGCGTCTAAATGATGAGCTTTAAAAATTGTCTACCAAATAACCATTTTTTCACAAATGCTGTTAAACCTTTTTAAAATATTATTTTTTCTGGCAGTTATGGGGCCAGTTTATACGTCCGAAATGCTCAAAATTAAATAGTCGCCGTTTGTGAATTCCTCACGCTGCCGCCGTTATTTCTAGTACTTATTCATCTAGCAGGAAAAAGTACTAATTCTTCGCCTTTGAAAGTAGTGTGTGGACCATGTTATCAGTTTTGATCAATGGAATAGTTTTAAAGGTTGAGCTTAGTTGCTCCTAATAAATGTCTTTATTTGTAAGAGTTATAGAACTTATATTGTGTGTTTCTATTTCTTCCTTGTCTAAGGCAAAGTCTAGAATGACATAAATGCCCAATTGCAATTCTCTCAGTTTTAGCCTTTGGCATTTCCTTACAACATCGCCGTTTATTGTAGCATTTCAGATCGTACCTCTTCGTACTACAAAAAAGTCGACTATTATCGAATCTAAGTCTAATAAAGTAAAAGTCAGACCGTAAAGAGATGTATGTTGAATGCGCGAAATGAAATGAGATGCTTAGTGTGGCTTACACTAACAGAATAAAGGTGTTTTTAAATTACGTGCACATAACTGAAATAAGTAAAAAAAAATAAAATAAAAAATAAAGATTGAAGAAAGCTAACTAAAATAATCAAACATATTGAATACTTGAATGAATGTAAGCAATAATAAGGACAGTGAAATTGTATATTGTCTAAAACGAAGCAGATAAAAAGGTCACTTTTATTTCTTAATAATGTAATAAATAATAAGGCATGAAGAGATGAATATTGTCTGCAAGGAATGACAAAGAAATGTAACTATTTCACTCCTTTTTAATACGCTTCTGAATCTTAGTTGCTGATAGTTGTGTGGCTTCATCTGGGGACTGAGAATCATCACTTTGCATATGTGATGATCTTTTGCAAGGTGTAACAGAAGCCGATGAGCTTTCAGGATCATGATCTGCTATTGCAGACAAAGATTGCTGCACATATATGTCAACAACTATGCATTAAAATTCAATCCTTATAAAACTGCAAGTTAGATTTCTTGTCTAGTCCGGTAACACTCAACCATGTTTTATAATAATACATCTATGCATTAATTATTGGAGAGAAACGTTATAATCAATGAATACTTTACGAAATTATTTAATAGGTTCCCCCTACCTCATCCATGTCAATTTTCCCCAATATAGATTGCGCAACGGTCTCATCCTCGGAAACTTTTTGTACGGATGCAGCACTATAGGCTGGCTGCATTTTGATCCTAAATGCCAAAGTTCTTCCAAGCAAGTCATCAAGTGTTTCTGGATAAGACAGTGGATCGTCCTCACCTTCCTAAGCAAGCAAAATGGTAAAACCTTAGAAATGCATTTAATTATCATAAAAATGTTGTTTGAATATACAATGGTGTCAAAAAGACATATATACTTCAATCATTTGGTTTCTGAGCTCATTAGCGGTCTTCCCAAGAAGCTGAATGCATTCTTGATCCCACAGTACAATCTTGACGCAATCTTTTTTATTGTACAACATGACTTCCAGCCTATACCTGTTTAAAAGGATTTAAAATTAATTGCTGAGCTATTTATTGTTGTTGCATACTGAAGTATGGAGTGATGGTGATGGTTTCGTATGAAAGAAAATAATCTAGTCTCACTGTCCTGCACCCGCATCTGATTTTCAGATTCTGAGGTGTGGGCCGCCACTGATGAACAAAGATGCTGCTCACCTTGAAGCACTTAGTTACACATCAAAATATTGAGTTTTATTTTTCCTTCAAAATATTGTATTAGGACATTGTGTTTCGCTACAATAAAAAATTGTATCTTTGATAGGTGATGAATTTTATTTTTGGAAAATGTCAAGCTCTGGTATCAATTTAGACTTATAAAAAGGCTAAGAATAAATTAACATACATCTATACTTTAACTTTATTCACAATAATTCACACTAATATAAATCCGATAGTAAGAGCACCTTATAACAGGCTCGTGGTTGTATTTGCCACATCTGCATGTGAACGCGCCATTGGGTGCTTCAGCCTTTCTAGTGCATGAAGAGCAACTTTGATAGCTCCACCCACTTTTTCCAACCACAAACCTTGCAATGGTGCCAACAGTGACACAAGTTGTTTCCTATAGAATATTTAAAAGGTCATTGATATACTTCAGTGTTTTATTAATTTTTAAAATTTTAAAAATTTTAAGATACCTCTTTAAGGCAATTTTTATCAGCAATACTCATAAGAACAGCTCTATATGTAAGCTTCTCTTGCTCAGAAAAACTGGAGCCTGAGGTTTGGCTTTGAGTTTGACCTTGTGGCTCGTTCACTTGATTTGATTTGAAGCTTTGATAATTTAAACATGGAGTTATATTTAAATAATAATAAATATTATTTCGAAAACAGAAATTGTAATTAGCAGAACATTAATCCTGATGATATACCTATCTTTGAATTGCTGAATTTCTGCAATGTCTTCATTTATGAGCAGTTTGGAGCTGTACATGCTATTTTGAATGGTGATAGGATGCATGCCTATCAAATGAGTGAGGTATATTCTATTAGCATCTATAATATGTATTTGTACATAGACATGAAGAACACTTAACAAAAAAATTCTAACCTTCCGGTTCCTTGATTTTTGCATGAGTCAAGATGATAACAGTCAGCTCCGATGGATGATTTTCACGGAAATTCAACAGTTTGGTAGCATAGTCGCCCCACAATGTGCATGTTATCATATCACCACTACAACGAAAACATGGTGTACTATTTTCAGTAAAGAATATTTCAAAAAGTTTAAATTTTAATAATACTAATTAAGATAATAGGAGTATTTGAAGCTAATGACATTACCTGAGATCTTTCATTAAAAATGATATTTTTTTCAGCGAAGCATTAGCCTGGGCATTAAGAACGTCATGCAGAGATCCAATGACATCTATTTTCATCCATTCAAAAACTAATAAGTAACATATCAATTAAATTTTTATCGTAAAACTACAAAATTTATGTGCGGTTATTATTTGATTCTCACCAATCAAAACATGAGTGTCCAGTTTGCCACTTAATATATCACAAAAGCTTCTAAACTGATAGTGATCCGTGGAAATATCGGAGAGATTTTGTACTTTTAGCGTTGTACCACCTGTGAGTTGAAGCTTGAATGGATGGTCACAAGTCTTGTATTCCCCATCGTTGCGTAGGACACAAAAATTCTGCATCACATACGTTTCTCCTTCTTTAAGTGTTGGCTTCCAAACAACCATCTCGGCATTCCTCGCAACTGCTTGTATCTTATGGCCCTAATGGATGCAAATAATTTTAAATTAATTTTCAATCATAATGGTGTGAATTTTGAATTACAGAACTACTGTTTTTAGTAATTGTCATACCTTGGCATCCATCAAAACCATTTCCATGAACTTTAAGGAATCAACACGACAGAGTGAAATCACTCTAACCGCAATCTTCCATGTCTCCTTTGAGTCGTTGATCTCTTCTATTGTGTTTATCTTGCGTGCCATACTGCAGGGTCTAAAATTTAACGAAAAGCTAATAAAAAGAAAACACATTTAATACAACATGATCTGATGAAAAAGGAAGAATACGTAAAAGGAAGAAGAGAAAAGTAATTTGATATGCGTTTGCTTGAGAGAAATTCACTGTATATCAAAACTCAAAGCCACCCCAGTAAACAAATACCATGATAAGGAATCAAGTTAAAAAAGCAAATGGAATAAGAGATGATATAACCCAAGTACGAAATGCTATATGAGGTTGTCTTGCTGTTTTTAAAAGAACTTTTAAAAATCAAGTTAGTTTGATGATTATGTTGGAAATGCAAGATATTAGATTTAGAAATGATAATAGCCTTATAACTTATATTCGGCAAAATACAAACACATGAAAGGCTAAATAGAAAGTTATGTATGCTCAAGCTTGCTCTGTAGGGTAAAATAATCAGCTTAACATAATTTGTAATAGCTTAAGTCTCCTAATAACTAAACAACAAATACCAAACAGAGAATCAACAAATACAGAAACCAAGAATTAGAGAGTACCTATGCTACTTGGGCACTCAAGGATTTGTGCTTCCAGAGCAGGGTGAATGTAGCTGAAAAGTACACCTAGCAGACATAAAATTTAAAGCCAAGGCTATACCTTGCATTGCAGTGATTTTAACTATTTCTATGGTCGATAATCAATTGAATTAAAAAAAGGAGAGAATAAGACAACACAATTTGTTCAGCAAAAAACAAAGCATAATGAAAAAGTCTCTATCAACATCTGGTCAGCAAAAAGAAAAAAACATTGTTCACCAAAAAAACAAAGCATAAAAAAGTCTCTAGCAACATCAGTTCAAGAAAAATAAAAAAACATTGTTCATCAAAAAAACAAAGCATAAAAAAGTCTCTAGCAACATCTGTTCAGCAAAAAAATCTTTGGTTTCATATAGTACTATCCTTTAGAGGCATGGTTCAGGGTTCACATAATAGAAATTTGGCTCAAATATTCACAAAGTGAATCATTTTCTTTTGGTTCACAGATTCAAAAAGTTAATCATTTGCTTTTGATTTTAAAAGAATTGACAGAATAAAAAGTGAATCACTATTTTATAATATATTGTGGGAATAGATTATTCACTATTGCATGTATAGCTCAAAATAGATGAACAAAGGAGGCTTTATTGAGATGGATGAACACAACCGGACTATGTGAAAATCTCTACAGAAATAAAATTAATAAGTAAAATCATAATTGAGACAAAAGAAAATCAAAAGGAACCAAAAAGTTTTAAAATCATTTTCTTTTGGTTCACGGATTTTAATAACTTTTGATTCAAAAAGTTACAAAGGAGGCTAATTAAACATAATCATATTGATTAATTAATAAGACAAAAGAAATAAATAAAAAAAGCACCAAGGGAAATAACACGGAAGTAACATATAGGCTCTTCATGTATCTTTGTATCAAATCTTCTATTTATGCAGCAGACCCTCAGTTTTTGGACATAGTAACTTCTTCAACTTAGTTAAAGGTCCTATAACAGCCATCTCTAATATGTTTTTGCAATCAAAACATTTCATCAAACACCTTATATGCTATAGCTTATATGCTCTGCGCACTTACAATATGTGCAAAAACAACAAAAAAATCAGCAGCAAATACTAATTAGATGCAGAGAAAGATGATTGAATGAGAATAGACGGCGTACCTGCTTTATTAGAGAGGGCAATAAAGCATAAAACCCTAGTATTGTAAAGGTTTATATAGCAATAATAATACCTTGTCTTGCAGTGATTTGTGCTTTGACGTCTCTCAATACTGCGGTAATTTCGTGGATGGGAAGAGGGAGAGGCGTGTTATACATGGCAAGCTCTCTAGTCCAATCGGCCGAGGAATTATCGGAGAAGAAAAGAGGTATCCGCTGGTTTTTTGTTTTTTGGCCGAGAAATTTGTGCGCAGAGTTAATTTCTTTATACATAGCAAGAGCTCTCCAGCCCAATCTGCCAAGGTATTTATCGGAAAAGAAAGAGGGGAGGCGTGAGCTGATTTCTTGTGTTGGCCGAGAAAATTGTGCGGAGTGGAGTTTTCTTTTATTAAAAGCGGTGGGCTTTTTCAGCTCAAAAAAACGAAGCCACGTGGATTGCTTAGGGAAGCCGAGTGAAATACGGCGAGCAGCACACGTAGGAATTTAGAGGGCAAAAATGTACTTAGCACAGCCTATCCTTTTCTTATATATAAGTAGATAGCAAGAGCTCTCCAGCCCAATCTGCCAAGGTATTTATCGGAAAAGAAAGAGGGGAGGCGTGAGCTGATTTCTTGTGTTGGCCGAGAAAATTGTGCGGAGTGGAGTTTTCTTTTATTAAAAGCGGTGGGCTTTTTCAGCTCAAAAAAACGAAGCCACGTGGATTGCTTAGGGAAGCCGAGTGAAATACGGCGAGCAGCACACGTAGGAATTTAGAGGGCAAAAATGTACTTAGCACAGCCTATCCTTTTCTTATATATAAGTAGATTTAACTAACTTCCATAGAAAAGTGAGTCGGTTTGGAGTAAGAAAGACTAGCTAGTGTCATAAATAATATCAATTCAAGAGTATATTTTCTTTGAATTAAAAAATTCCTTGAGAATACCACGCGACTTCGAGACCAAGAAATTACTTCTACAGGCCAAGATCCTTGATTGGAAAACATTGAACAAGGTAGTCTTTAAGAGTCTTAATCATATAGGAATATATGCCTATGATAAGTTGGTCATCTACATAATTAAACAAGAACACAATGGGAATGAGCACCCCTGGGCATATAAAAAGAGAATCGTCGATCTCAATAAGATTGAACAAAATCATAAGCCTTGAGGGATGAGGTTAATTTAGAGAATAAAAAACGAGGGGTATGGCGAAGACCATATAGAGACGTGTGAAGGCAACAAATTTTGCCGGTGTGGGAAGAGAGAAAATTGGTGAGCCATTCATATACTTCCTCCTGAAGATCATCATGGAGGAAAGCGTTATCAACATCCATGTGATGAAGTTCCCCATCACAAGAAACAATAACAGCTAAAAGAATGTGAATAGTAGCCATTTTAGCAGCAGGAGCAAACGTCCCACGATGGTCTACGCCTTCAGCTTGTTTATTCCCACAAATAACAAGATGATCCTTGAATCGTTCTAAGAACCATCAATATGATCTTTGATCTTAAGGTCCATTTGCACCAGATAGGAATTTTTCCAGGTGGCAATGAAACTAGTGACCATGCCCATTTCGATCTCACGCTTCATAACCTCATGCTAACGTCTGTCTTGCATGGCTTCATGGTAGGACCTAGGTCCATTCTCAGTAGAAATAGCAGTTAAGAAAGCTTTATGAGAGGAAAAAACGATCATACTTTTCAAAATAAGTAACAGGATAAGGTGACATACTTGAAGAAGATGGCGGTGTGGAGAGAGGAGGGGGGCATGTACAAACAAACTTGTTGACGCCAATATAATCTTTAAGCCAAACGGAAGGAAATTTGGTGCGACACCCATGCCCCTGCTGTTGGGATATTGGGTCTAGGCCCAATATACCCAGCCCTAAGTATGAAGGGGCACAGATGAAACATAGGGCCCAAAGCGGTTCAGAACACCCCGATCGGCATTCGGCACAATTCATCTACTTGAAGTATTTCAGGAAACACTGGCATCTAAACACCCACGAAGGGGTCCAGCACACCGAACGCACTACCCGAATGGGTAGTCAACAGGTGGACGCAGCATTTAATGCCGAAGTATGGCAGTAGCAAGTGGAGGCATGGGTGCAAGGCGGCGTAGGTAGCAACCAACCAGGTCCAGCCACGTCATCATCCCACCTACCCCCTCTTAGTATAAATACCTGCATTGAATACATTGTAAAGGGTTAGCATTTTGATACTCAGAACTTAGAAATAGAATCATCTCTTGTGTTGTATTTAAACTCACACTGACCTACCGTTCGGGCAGTTACTTTGTAATCACAGAATTACGTAATACATTTGGCTTCTGAGTTAGATCTTAAATTCACTGTTTTATATTTGATATACCTTTCTACACCAAGACCAAGATCCTTAAATATCCAAAACGTGTGTTGGGCTTTCGGATCTACAAGACAAAACCTCAACGCCTGCTTTGAATCCACGTGTGGAGTAACAGTTGATGGTGTCGTGGAAGAAGAATTTTGATTTAGTGAAATCCATGTCCAACTACATCGGGAGAGATATCTGCTAAAGGCTGATCAGCCATACAAAACTTCAAATCGATATCAAACTGATAAGACTTGACAGCACACCTGTATCCCTTCCTTCAACTCATGTTGGCGCATGACATCTTCTACTTCAAAGTGCTCCTTGAGATCGTCCCACAACTCACAAACAATGTGTACGTAGGCTATATTTAAATGTAATCCAATATTGATGGAGGACATAATCCGACCCACCAACGTTGAATTTACACTAATCCAATCTTCAATATAATCATCATTATCCGTCAGTTGTGTAATGGCCTTCAAGGGACCTGAGTTTTCTCTTTTCCGGAAAGTGTTGCACATGGAGGTGGCCCATTCTCGGTAGTTTCCTTATCCTACAATGGGTAGGTCATGGAGGTGGCCCATTTTCGCTTTTGAGACCCTGGATGTCTAAATTGGGTATGTAAGAAAAACGGAGAAGAAGGGTCGTTATTTTCTAACGTGGTGCCTTTTGTTTTTTATGTCATCGTAGGGACTCCAGTAGCATTAGCTGGAGTAGTTGGGAAAAAATGTATTAAAGGAAAGAGATGGATTATGCCCAAGTTTAGCTGACAAAAAAATGCCCCATGGATAATATCGGGCTCCGAACACCTTCCCCCCTAATGTCTTGGGTTCTGAAAAAATCATCCATGCGTGTTTGACTAACATGGAAATATTAAAATTCCTGGTTTTCCTAAACCCCATGCCTCCCATCTTTTTTGGCTTACACATATATTCCCAGCTCCGCCATTTAATCCCTTTCCCCGATTTTCCATTCCACCAATAATCATTCATAAGAACTTCTAATTCCTGACAAAACTCCTTAGGAAGAAGGAGTACATTCATTTCATAAGTCGACATGGCTTGGATCACAAATTTAAGAAGAACTTCATCTCTTCCCGCCCTTGATAAGAAAGCGATTATTCCAATTCTAAATTCGGTTAACAACACGTTTCCTTAAATAGGATAGAATCCTTTTCCTACTTCTCCCAACCAACTCCAGTAGCCCCAAGTACCATTCTTCACAACTGGCCACCCCACCCCCAGCAAGTCAACTAACCCCGCTCTACAATCGTCATTACCATTAGTGCTAAAGAAAATCTTAGATTTATTGAGATTTATCACCTGCCCCGATGCAACCTCATAATCATGTAATGCCTCCTTAATTTCAACCGCTTCGCCATGAGTTGCTTTAAAGAAAAGGAGACTGTCATCTGCAAAAAATAGATGGAAAATTCATGGAGCTCCCCTGGCAATCGCAACCCCATACATGCAATCGTCCTGCCTCCTCATATCTCCTCAACATGACACTCAGACCTTCCGCCACCAAAATAAACAGATAAGGTGATAAAGGATCATCTTGCCTCAACACCCGTGTGGGAACAATAGGTCCTAGCTCTTTATCATCGAAAGGAATGGAATAAGATACATAAGTAACACACTCCATAATGAGACTAACTCATCTATCAGTGAAGCCCATATTTCTCAACATCCCTTCTAGAAAGGACCATTCAATCCTTTACATTGTACTTCTTTACATTGTACTTACTGATGATGATAAAAAAGATCACATAGTTACGAACATATCACCGAATTTCATTCTTATATTTTTGCAGCCTTAACCAGGGTTGGGAAAAAATACCAAATTTTAGGGATACCACATTTGTCATATCGAAGAATACTGGATTTACCGAAGATTTAGGTATATAGACATTTTCGGTATGGTATGGTACCGTACCGAATTACTTCGGTGTGATAACGGTACATGTTTTGAAAATAAAAGGCATACTGATATATCGTTATACTGAAAGTCCTATTCAAATATTTTGGTGAAATTATGAAATTGACTAAATACGCAACATCATATTAGGGATAAATGAGTTTATATTCATGTTTTTTGAATAGTTCTGTTTTTGTTAGAGATCACTATTGATTTAATTATATTTATATTGTTTAAGTTATTTTAGGACAATATGTCTTTTTTAATATGCGACATGTTGAACTGCTTAAATATACTAATAATAACTAGGATGTTTTTACTTGGACTGTAATTTGTCCCAGACCAGACCAGAACATAACAGACCAGACCAAACCAGACCAGACTTGGATATTTATAAAAATACAAAGATACCAGACCAGATCAGACCACATCAGACCAGACCAGCAAATTACAATTCAAGTAAAAACATCCCTAGTGTTCAATATTGAACATGACATTAATAGATTTTTATTTTTTTGTGACATTTCAATAATTGATTAAATATATCGCTTGTAACACTGATTTTGTATATTTCGTTAGTCTATGATAATTTAATGTATTAAGAGACATGCATGGTAATTTACCAATACCGTACCGTTACCGAACCGAAATTTCGTTAAGGTAACGGTATATAAATTTTGTACACCGAAAGTTTTAGTACGATAAAGGTATGGAAGAAAATATTCAGTAGACGTATCATACCAAACCACCCCTAATGTTGACACTTTCAGAGTCATTGGATCTGATCTATGCACAGCATGGTATTAATTCTTATTTCTCAAATGAGGCTTCTTAGATGATTTAAATTCTATAGAAAGAATGACCAAAATATAATCTCCAGCTTTTGATAAGACACAAATAAGACCTAATTTTGTTTGGACTAAAATCAGACTAAATATGTATCAAACGGACTTAAATGCCCCTGAACTAAGTAGCACGGAAACGGGAAACGGGAAACGTGAAACGGGAAACGGGAAACACGAGAAACGTAATTTCTAAAAAATATAGGACACGAAACGTGGGGGAAACGCGTAAATATTATAAAATATAAGGATATATTTATAAATATTTTTTAATATATGTACACAAGTTTTTCCATATGCACATGTTTTTTTAATATAATTTGTTTAGTAACCAAATAATAAAATCACTCTACATGTTTGAATTTAGATATTATTTCATATTAGTACATAATTATACCTAAAATGTACGGAGTAATTCATTTCTAGCAATACATTGCGTTACGAAATGTAACAAGTGTTGCCGCTGAGAAATACCACAAAAATTCACTATAATTTTTTTTTTTTTCACCACAAAATCTTTTGAAAAAGAAAAAAATTGGAATCCAAGGTTTCCGAAACGTAGTGAAACGGGTTTCCAAATTTTTCTTAATTACGGAAACGGCCCCGAAACGGGAATTTGAAGTTTTCGAGTTTCCGAAACGCTTCCGAGTTTCCGAAACGTGGAAACGTGAGCCATGAAGAGTTTCCGTGCTTCTTAGCCCCTGAACCTAATAGCCAACGAATAACCTCTGCTCTTGGACACGTCTGCCTAGGCTCTTGCACAAGGAGAAGTCCGCACCATCTCCGTCTAGCTCCTCCGGCGCATCGACCTCGCCGCCACCTCCCTGTCGTCCGCCACCAGTGTAATATGAATCGACCGTCGCCGCCACCAGCCACTCGGGTATTCATCTCCGCCGCCCACCATTATCTTCTGATTCGATTATCGCCTACGCATCTGCAAAATCGCCGTCAATTTCATCGAGAGTTGTCAGTCAACAAGAATATTCGCCATTACATCGAAGTTTCTTAGCTATTCCTTCTTCATTTCTTTTGACACCAGATCTGGTTCGGTGGTTAGGGTTTTCGGCTGAGGTTAGGCGGTGGTGGGTTGGGGTAGTGGTGGGATGGGACTATGTTGGGCTGATCCAAGCCTAGAGCTGGGAAGGGGTGAATTTTGGCTCGGAGGTGGAGCAGGGGAGGGGGTTGGGGCAGGACAGGGACGTGACTGGGGAGCAAGGGAGGGGGTTGTGGTGGTCTGGGCGGGCAGCGTTTGGTCGGCTGTAAGAGCATGTGTGGCGGCGGGCGGAACATGTTTAGCGGTGGGCAGCGGCATGGTTGTAGGAGATAGTGGCCGATGTCATCCTGTGTCTGCAATAGCCATGGTCACTGTTGAATCATGTAAATGTAATGAATTAGATTGGATAAATGTAATTGATTGGTTCGGATGATTGTAATTGATTGGGTCGTGTTATTGTAATTAGACGGTCTAAGTAACTGTAATGGGGTGGGTTGAGTAATTATAACTGGGCGTTTGCCACTGGACGGACAGGTATTGGTCATTGAACGGATGAACATTTGTCACTGGACGGCAGTAAATATGTCATTTGTCACCGGGCGGAAGTCACTGTAGAATTAGTCATTGTGACCGAATCGGGTGTAACTGTAACTGGTAGACGATGGTCATTGTGGCGGTGGTCACTGCACGGGAATCACTATAAAAATTGATCACCGAGCGGATGTCACTTTGTCAATTGGTCACTGGACAAAAGTCACTACACATTTGGTCACTGTGATGCGGGTCATTGGTGGGGCATATTATTTTTTTGTCACTGGATGAATTTTGTAACTATGTCATTGGTAGCTGTAACATTGGTCACTGCACATTTGGTCACTGTGACGGGTTACTGTAGCAGGCCAGTGGGTTTGAGCTTAGTAAGGGTGTAATAGTCCCTTAAGTATTATTTAGTCTTATTTTTGGAACTTAAAAGAAAAGTATCTTTTTTTGTCCAAATGCTTTTAATTAGTATTATTTGAGGACAAACCCCAATTCTATATTTTTGTACTCCCTCCGTCCTGAAAACAACTTCACAGTTGGACTTTCACACACTTTTAGAAAATAAATTTGACTTTACTGTAGAGTGCACTGTTTGGCATTGTTTAAACACTGTTTGACACTGTTTAAACACTGTTTGGCACTGTTCATCATTTTTTTGATGTAGATAATTTGTCGAATAAGGAATGTATTGAAGTGTGAAGTTAATTTTGGGACATCCATTTAAGGAAAGAGGGAAGTTGTTTTTGGAACGGAGGGAGTATATATGTATGCATGAATGTTTTTTTATTTCTATTTTATTTTAAGTCTGGCCAAACATTGCGGCCTTTTAATTTGGCTGTTGATGTACCGGCGTGGGCTGCATGTTGTACACGGAGTTTCGGTGCACGAGTGTGGACGCAGCCATTTGGCCGGCGGTCATTTTAATATCGGACGGGGCAATAAATTGATCGGCTATAGCTTTTAGATTCGGCACGGAGCGAATCGTTACACTTTCTTACGCGTGATGCGCGAGATGAAAATGCCCAATGCTACTTTATTTGTAATGTTAACTAAATGAAATGTTACATTATTGGTTAAAATAAATGATTCATTTGAAATTACACACAAATTCCAATTTTGATAACAAATGTTTATGTTTGGGGTGCTGCATGCAAAGCTAAAACTGGCTGCATAGTTTGAAATGAGCAAGTCACAATAATAGAGCAAAAATAATAGCACAACATAAGATTCCCCATTTATACCTATTTACAAAATATTGGAATACTATAATTTGTCAAAAAAATGCTTAATGAGCTTTAATTGAAATCGGTCTTGTTAAAGAACTTAGATGGAAACGCAAATAGAAAATTAAAAATATTATTTAAACTTAAATTGAGATATCAGTACTTTAGTTTTTAAGTCTAATCTTAGAAATTCTATTATGCTTCGTAATTGTTAACTTTTGATATTATTATTATTTTATTTATGAACCTCTGAATTATATATTTGCAAATTATACCCTATATTATTATTATTATTATTTATAAATATACCCCATATCTGTATTTTATAATTTTTGAAGTTGTCGTATCAATGTAACCGTATTCGCGTATCGGTGTATCAACGTATCCGTGCAAGATAGACCAAAACATATCACTAAGTATATAATATTACTCCCTCTGTCTCAGAAAATTCTTCTCAGTTTGACTTGGCACTGAGATTAAGAAAGTGGAATAAAGTGCAAATGTATGGTTGTGATTGTGTAAAAAATGTGAAATGAATGTGAAAAGAAATTTTTGGGACGACCCAAAAGGAAGTAGGAAGAATTTTACGGGACGGAGGGAGTACAATATACCAGGAGCATCCTGTGAAAACGTAACCTAAATTGATCATGTCAAATAACTTAATCAAATCAATAAATTCAAACAAGATAGTGCTCCTGGATCCTAATCCATAATGATGATTTGATCTGTAAAAAGTGAAACTTTCATTGTGGGAATTATCATTACCATAGTAAATGACACGTAGTAATTTATTAGAGGATGTGTCATGTGTACATAATGAAGCCAAGGTTTGCTTAATTGAGAGTGACAGAACGGCAAAACAGAGTAAGTTTAAAATTTTTAACGGAGTCACCGGAAAACACGATATAACAGTAAGAGAGTACACCATGTATAAGGTAGTGTATCACTATTTATTGCTTTGAGATTCCACCAACATTTTTTTATATCCAAAAAGCTCTAACCTTCATTGGGTTTATAAGATTTTAGAGAAGATAGAGATAGAGATTAAAATGTGTTTCCCTCAAAAAAGAAATTTTTAAAAGGGATAATTCTCGAAATATTAGTAAAAATGTTTGGAATTCTAAAATAGGCTTGTCATGTTTTTATTCATTATGTAGGACTGATTATTGCCAAACTTAGAAGGAGATACTGTCATGTTTAAAATCCAATGCTGCCAAAACATGATACGTAGTAGTAATTACTCATATTTAGGAATAAAAATATGACAATCATATTTCGGATAATTTTTATTTAAAATGGAAATGAATCGCACAACAAAAATTACAACTACCCAAATCTTACTATGGATGTTCTTACTTGGATTGTTTTCGATCCTAAACGAGATCAGATTAGACCAAATCAGACTAGACTTGAATAGTTATAAAATACACATAGATCAAATATTTACCAGACCAGATTAGACCGATCAGACCGTAAATTTTTAGTCTATATAAAAACATCCTAATTATGATTGAAAATTAATAAAATACTATTTAGCCCTTGATAATGTTGAATTAGCGTAATTGTGAAAAGATGTATCTAGTTATCTACAATATATTCTATCCATAATTAAAGCAAAAATATGATCTAAAATTGTTTCTATCAGCCAACTCAACTCTATTTGTGAGAGATCAATCACTATAATCTTGTTTTTTTTAATTATTATACAATTTTAACTATTTCATAAAAAGTTGGCTGATAATAATCCAGAAAAATACTAACAAATGGGCTCTAAAGCACCTTTAAGCTAGAGCCCGTTAGGTAACACTAAAGTTCGCTAAATCGGGTGGATCAGCTGAAATTGATGAAATTTGGGAGTTTTTCACAAATAGACTAAAAAGTGAAAATAATATCACTTTTATCACCCTTAAAAACTTCTTTCAAATATAGATTACATCCGCGTTTCTTTTCAAAAATAGACCGCCCGTACAAAGTCTGCCGACTCTAATTTCTTATTCAAGCACCGAGTTAGCTAGTGAATCAATGCTTCGCTTTTCATCCAGCTTCGATTAAAGTAAGAAGCCACGGTGCAGCGCTCAACTTTTTATTTTCTAATCAACTCATATAGTGATAATGCTTATAAAACAATAATTTAAACTCAAGATAAAAAAGAATCCAAAAAATGAAAAATTGGAAAATTGTATATCAAATTTAAAAATTAAACAAAATGAATTTAAACTCTACAAAATTTTAGAAAAAAAAAACATGTAGGAATCTTAAAATGATAAAAAATTGAGATTTTTTTATGTAGCGTTTTAAATAGATAATATAATTCATTTTACAAAGCAAAAAAATCAAGGGTTGATCTAAGCATTTTGGAGTTTGCTTCTTTATCTTTTCTGCATTTTAATTTTCAGGATAAGACGTCTGTGTTTTGTTGTTATTTTATTTTATGCTGTAAGACTCTTGCATTAGGTTTGGGGGATGAGAGCTCTACGGTAATCATCATTGGCTATATGTTGCCCAATTTAGGTCTAGCGAGTTATATTGCTTTGTCAAAGGTGATTAATTCAGAGTTTCGGCCAAGGGCAGATGGTTACATGTGGTCCTTTTGTTATCATGTACCCCTGCTGAATGCTATTTTATTAATCTAAAGCCCCTTTGACTATAAAAAAGCAAAAAAATCAAAACTTTTATTAAAAAAGTATAAAATATTTAAAAAACTATAACTGTAATTTTTTTTCTTTTTGACCAATTCTTTCTAATCTATATAGAATCTGCTCACTGTTATAGTATATTCTATAAGTCTATAATTATAAAATTATTAAAAAAAATAGTAAAGTAAGATTAAAAGATGAAAATTAATCGGAATCTTTTACGAAAACATAATTTTTTTAAAAAAAATTGAATATATACATATTAAAGAAAATAAAAATTCAAATAAATATAAAAATCTGAAATCATTTGAAAAGTTAACTTAAATTTTATATTACAGTGGAAAAAAAAATATTACATAAATTTTTAAAAAATCAGAAAATTAATGTAACCCAAAAGACTTTAAAATTAAAATAAACGCAATGAATAAAAAAACTCATTGAATAAAAATATGGGGAAAAATAAAATAATGAACTCGGAAAAAAAATTAAAAATTGAAAATAAAAAATAAGAATTTTATAATGTAATATTCCTTAAAGCACTTAAACTATTAAGTTATTAATATGTTATTATTTTTTTGTTTATTGTTTCTATGTGTTTCTTTTTTGCTTAAAATTATTAAAATTTTTGTTTTTTATTGTTTTTATGTTTCAAATTGTAGTTTACTTTCATAAATCTAAATTTATCATTTTAGGTGTTTGTTTCTACATCTACATAGAAATATGATATTAAGGATAAAAACAATACAATGATAAAAAAACATGATGCAAAAAGAACGTGTTACAACAACAAGCAACAAAAAACAACATGTTACAACAAAAAGAAACATGATGCAACAAAAAGTCATTCACATGATACAACAATAAGAAACAAAAACAACCATTCAGAAGTGTCACAGGTATATAATTCAACTTGTTAACTCAATGTATAACTCAATTTTGCTTCTTCACATTCTTCTTCCACTTATGGATTCCAGCACACAATCCATTAGTTTTTCTTCTTTGTCTTCGTTCACTCGTTAATCTCGAAAACTGCCACAAATTACAACACAAGTGTATCATATTGAAAACTGTATAACAAAACACTAGCTCAATATAGTGTTTTGCCACCAGGCATATTGCCATCGGGAAAAATCCATACCCGAGGCAGTTAGTTACTAGCAAGCATTTCCAATCTTGATTCCAGATTGATACATGTGGATTTATATGCACTCTCATCTTCAAGATTTGTTGAGATCCACAAGAAATGAAAGGAAATGCTAGAGGATTAAGATCGGTGTTAATCAAGACGCCACTCTCCATTTAGGTGTTTGTATATATACCTATATATGAGTTTTTATTCCAAACAACACATTATACATATAAATCGAAGTAACAACAAAAATCAGGTTCAATAGTAAAAAATAGGCAACAAAATGCAACACAATACAACAAACTGCAACACGATGCAACAATAAGCAACATATTCATTACAACAAAGAGAAACAAAACAAAATTTTTTACATGCAAACTAATCGGTTTGCATTAGGGTGGAATAAGGTCATCAACCATGGATCAATTCAAAAGATGGCATAGAATGGCCAATTAAAATAGCATGCACTCTAAGCAATCAATTTTAATTTAGACAGGCATGCTAAGACACCAAAACTATTGTATAACTATTGTATAATTTCCCTTTGATTCTTTTCATTTAGCTTTGGAAGAGTTGTGGCTGACTCCTTTGCAGAATAGCACAACACACTCCTAACTCCTTTGTAGAATAGCAAGTCGCTGCCACTGAGTATGAGAGGGAGGATGATGAAAATTTCCCAGGTTTTTCACTGATTGAAATTTCAATCCTTCAAAAAAATGTTGAATGGATGCCCTGCAGATTCTGTCTCATTAGCAACATACAAAACAATGTTTCTTCTCTGAACTTAGTAACAGTTCATCTGCTAGATGTTGAAATCAAAATAAAAATATAAATCACAACTAAAGTTATATACGAAGTAGAAATTAATTCAAGACATCTGAATCTAAAAGCATAACAAAAAGAAAAATATCATAATCGAAATTTAATATTAATAGTAATTATAAAATCAATAGAAACTAAGCAAGTACAGGCTTACGGATTAAGCACTTTTATAATTCAGATTATAATGGCATACAAATCAGCAACTTCAGCTTTTTGAACAACAAATTTACAAATCGACAAGTAAATTTGAGCTTACCTTGAAAAAATTAGGTTAGGAACTTAAAAAGTCGGGAATCAAGTAGGAGGGAGATGGCAGACAAATTAAGGAAGCTGGAGCCTGGAGAAATTACCTTTTACTTGAATTTGTTCGTCAGCTATGATCCTAGGAGTAGTGCCGGCGAGGCTTTCATGCTTTAAGGACGAAGAAGCGATCGGCGAATTGGCATCCTATGTTGCGGTGACTGGCCACTCCGGCGAGTTGGCGTCGATGCGTCACAGAGTCACAAAGGGGGAAGCCGAATGATTGTACGCTAGAGGATGAATTCGTAGGATTGGAGTAAATAGATGAGACTGGAGGAGTAGTGGAGGCCGAAGGTATGGATGGAAGAAGACATGGCGGGATGAGGAAGGGAGGAGAGGGTTAAAGGAGATAAGTCTGAGCGGAGGATGATTTTTTGTTTGAGCGTGCGATTGATTTAGGATGCAGGCTACTTTTGAAATATAAAAAAAATAAATTTGAAATGTTAAAAGTTGAGATATGAAAAGTATTTTATGGGTGGACATAAATGATATGCGAAACAAAAAACTGACCGAATCGGGATATTTCCACTAAATTTTGGTTGAATCGATAGAATTAGCTAAATCTTCTTAAATCTGAATAATGGGAAAAAATAAATATATTCTATTAATAAAATAAAGAAAAATTGTATGAAAATATGTTGAAATAATCTTCTTCAGCGATTTGAGTTAATTTAGTTAGAAAAGTAATTTCAAATGTACTTATTTTAATTAATGCACAACTCATTGTGTGAAGTTAAAAGTTGCGTGTGATGGGTGTGTCGATCTCGGAAAATAAAGAAAAATAATCGATTCAAATTAATTAAAATGACTAAAGAAAAACAGAAAAGAGATGAAGCAGAAATTAGGCAAAGCTCGTGCTACGCTTGATGTCCTTATAACGTATTCATTGCCTCCCTAAGTGCTAAGAGCGTTGCAATGATCGTTTCCCAAGATATGATGACTACGAACAATCATTGAGCACTCAAACGAATTGTTCCAGCAAACGTAAACAAAGGCAGAACATATATGGAAGAATATTTTTGAAAACTGGAGGTTTTTTTAGCTCTCAAAAGAACATGAAGGATGTGCATGAACATGTGTTGCTGTAAACCACCTGCAAGCCATTTTATAGGGAAGATTTGTTGTGTGTTAATGACGTTTTAATGGAGTTGATCGTTGAACATCAATGGCTCGAACGTTGGACATTGATTCGTCCAAAACAATCCATTTAATTGCATGAACGTTGGGCATTAATGTTGTAAAGTCCCATGTAACGGCTGGTTGGGACGTTACATGTAACGGGAAGATCAGACATTTAATCCATATTTTAATTCCTATTTATGATTCCAAATAAAAATGTCCTGGATTGAGTACACCCTGCGACATGTGTCCATAGACGAAAAGTTCAATTGTCGTTTTCACCTTGAATGGTCATTTTCCTTTGAAATCCTCACCTTCTAAACATTGTAAATAAACTAGATTTTCACCCGTGCGATGCACGGAACAAAATTAAAAAATAAATGTATCACATAATATGTTGGAAAAATTAGTTACCAAAAGTTTTACATAAATAGAAAGTTCAAGAGTATTAAAAGAGAATAAGATGTTATACGGAGTATATAATAAACGGAAATTGTCCTAAATAGGACTAATGAGTTCCTTAAAAGCACAAATAGGACTACTACTTTTTAAATTCCCTAAATAGGACTAAACATTGATTTTCTACCCTAAATACCCCTAAGAGTATTAATTCATAATGAAATGCTTTAATTCATAATAAAATCATAAAAAAACGTAAAAAAATATTTAAAAAACGTAAAAAAATTATAAAAAATTTATAAAAAATTTATAAAATAAAAAATTTAATTTTTTATTTTTTAAATTTTTTTTAAAAAATAATAAAAAATAGTAAAAACCCATAAAAAATGAAAAAAATTATGGATACCTTTCCCACCGCCTCCTGCCGCCTCCCACCACCACCACCACCTCCGATTGGTGAAATTTCTTCCACTTTTGGTAAAAAAATGTCATCTTTTTCTGAAAATGCCAAAAAGATGGCATAATTACTCTTCAATATGCCAACATTTTCATTGAATATGCCATCATTATGGCATAATTTAAAATGTTGGCATATTTTTCTCCGGTGATGGGAGCTAGTGGTGCTGGGGGTGGCAGGGGTGGTAATGTTTTTTTTTTTGTTTTTTTAATTTTACGATTTTTTATTTATTTTTTTTAATTTTTTAAAATTTTTTTTTTATTTTTTTAAAAAATATTTTTATTAATTTTCTATTATTTTTTTTTATGATTTTTAGTATTTTTTTCGATTTTTATTATTATTTTTATGATTTGATTATTAATTAAAACATTTCACAAGTTACAAGGGTATATTTGTCCAAACACACATAAATAGTCCTATTTAGGGAATTTAAAAAATGTAGTCCTATTTGTGCAATTTTGCCACTTTTTAGTCCTATTTAGGGAATTTCACTCAATAATAAAAGAGATAATTAGGAATAGACAACCAAAGTTGGTGTAGACAATATTTTAGAAAAAAAGATGAAATAAATATTACAATGATATTTTCGAAACGTTTATTTGAAACGTTTATATATTTGAAACGTTAATTTGTAAGCAACATTGTTGGTGTGGTCAATTTATAACCCTCGACAAATAATTTAACACGGTTTTAATATAATTTAACACGATTTTAATATAACCGTTTGAATTGGTTTAATTTTGTATGATAAAAATGATTGCACCTCCAAGTTCATTATTTGTTGAGGTAATATATTTTCTTGTTTCATGATAAATCATTACCTGTGGTTTCATGTTCACATCTAATGTCCTCGTTATTGGAGAGCAATTATATTGCAATTAACAATATACGTAGTATAAATTAAAGTTGAGTGTCTCAAAAAAACCCCATTTTGTTAAATAATGTCAAATAATCAAGTTGAGGAAATTCATTTAATTTTCAATGTTATTTTCATTTAGCTTTTTTTAGGGAAAAAATAGTGAAGCTAAATCTGTCAATTTAAATAGAATTTTTTTAATACGGAATATAAAAGTGTACTTCTAAAAATGTATGCTTTAGCATTTTTTTTTATGAAGTTATGGATTATTCATAACAAAAATACTTCCCAACGGTGATAAGGAAATAATTTAGAACATGTATGTTGGTTCCTAAAAGTAGGGGATGTTCTTGAATTTCACTTTTCTCTTTATGTCGTAAAAATAAAATAATAAATTATGTGTTAATTAACGTAAAAATAATTTAAAATTATACTCCGTATGTGGGAACATTAACAGTTTTACACACACAATCTATATGATAAGGAAGATCTGAGTATGATACAAATAGCTACCATTTATCGTTATGATCACATTTCTACCATTTATGATATAAATTGCTTTTTTATATCATAGAGGGCAAAAACCGGCAGTCTGATGGTATAATGAAGCAGACACCCATCACTGATGCCGTTGGGCTCCTCCATGTTTTATCGTCGTTGGTATAATGTTTGTGATGATTATGAGGAGAGTTCATCTGGATCTTTCTCTGTTGGTATGATCTCCCACGTACACACTTACCTCCTGTTGATACTCCGTATTATAATTGTAAATTTTTACACACACATGAGTATCCGGAGCCTCCGTCTTGCTTTAAAGCAAGGCAGGGTCTCTGACTCTTCCGGGCCGCTCGATCGGGAATTGGACGGCCGAAGATGTTGGGCCCACCCCTTCGCCGATCTTGAGGTCGTCCTCGTCGCCTTCCTGCCGTCGGATGCCGCAAGGCACTCTGCCTTATGGCAGAGGATCTGATCGCATAAATACATAACATGCTTGCTACAGAAAACTAAAATTGATAGAATAAATGGAGTAACTCTAGATTTGCAGTTTTCGAATGAACTGTTCCGAAGACAATATTTATAGATGAGTTGGTAGTTACCGTAAATACGGAGCATAATTTTGAATTATCCTTTAGCCTTGAAATACTCACTGTATAATAGAGTTGTACCTAATTGTAATTTATAGGTATGCAGGCGGCTGTGTAGGCGGCTCAAATTTGATTGGCCACGGCAATACATTTACAAAAATACTTTTCGAATTGTATTACTCCGTATTTGACCAAAGCATTCAAAATTCTGCTCCGCAATCAATTCCATACATTAATTGCTACCGGTACGACCTATGCTCGCTCCTACAGAGTATAACAAATCTTCAAAATAAAAGATTTGCATACCCGTTTCTACATGCCCGACCCGCTCCTGACCCTGAACTTTGGGCGGGAAACCTTGACACAATTCCACTTCTTTTTATATAGAGTAAGATTATGTGTAGTAACCAAAAGCAAATTACATATATTAAGGCTCTGTTTGCAATTCCAACTGGGAAGTGCTTTTAACTTTTTTAAATGATTTGGTAAAAAAGTGATTAATAGTAAAAGTTGGTAGTGTTTGAGAAAAAAGTGATTTTTAAAAGTAAAAGTTGGTGGTGTTTGGTAAAATAAGTGCTTTTTGTGTAATAGAAAAAGTAAAAAGCAGATTCTAGCTTTTAGCTTTTAAGTAATTCATTTAAGTAGAAGTTGTCATTTAAAAACATCTTTTTTAGCTTTTTTAAGCCAAAAGCTGGGAAATGCTTTTTTAGTTGTGTTTGCAAACAGAGCCTAACTAATTTGATAACTGATTTGAGAACTCCTCATAGCTTGCGTTGGAACTACAACATTTTGAAAGACTAAATTTGTGAAGTTACTTTAGCCAAATGCATTTATTGCGCCCAGGAATCACGTTCAAAGCTTTGACAAAGCATTAAATGAATGTACTCTACTCATATTCTAACCTAGGAACCCGTTTCAGAAGACCCATTTAACTCAACTTTGGGCGGGAAACCCGGCTGCTTTTCCACGTTCCTTTGTATATAGAAAGATTCTCCTGGAAAAGTACATACTCCTTGTATTACCTTCAATTAAATCCAAGCTAAAATTTCTGGATTTGATCCGTTTAAGATTATATTGATCTAAAATATATAGTTAGGTCTTGTTAGGCAAATGTCTGCTTTACGTGTATTTACTATTCTTTAAATGTGATCTATTTAAGTTTGATTTGATGTACTCAAATTAAGTCTTGAACTTTGAATCTAATTCGAGATTGAACTCACTTAAAGTAAAACATCCTAATTTTTTTGAAGACCTAGTTCGTTTCGATAGAAACTCAATATTCTGGTGTGAATTAATACTTGTCATTTCACTATAATTTATTCTAATTCGATAGTATGTGAAGTGCGAGCAATAATATTATGGATACATTATAAATCAGTATGGTGCAATATATTATTCATACGGTAGATTGGTAGTAATGTAGTTATTACAAAAGATTTATTTTCATTTTAAGCTGTTTTATTTTAATACGGAGTAGAATGGTGACGAAAACACACTTAAATAATACTATCGTATATACCATTTTTTATAAATAAATACGAGTAATATATACTATTAATAATAATAATTTACACAGGTAATTTAATTATTTTTAATTTTATAAAAAAAATTATCTACTACATACTACATATTTATTTAAAGGGTAAGATTGCTCAAGGCTAGGTATTAATTCTGGCTCAAAGGTTGGACAACCGATTTAGCATATACTACTAGAAGAGAAAATTCTCAGACTAAAATAAAATATATGTGAAATGTAATAGTAGTTGTAAATATTTTGAATTCTCCAAATATGAGTCATAAATAGTGGTTGGAAAAAACTACCCTTGTAAGATTTGAAGTTAGAGTGAATGTCCTAAATACGAGCAAAACATGAGCTATAAGTAAAAATGTGAGTTGTTTTAAATTTCATTAATACGAGTAATTATGCATGTCTAGACCATGATGTTTGTCCCTTCATTCAACAATCAAAATAATAGAATATGAGAGTAGAGAACAAACAGCTTCGATTCAATACCAAGAAAGATTTCGAAATATAGAACAGAGTATCGAAAAACAAACTGCGGCTCTCTCACTTAGAATGATATATGCGCTGATTTCTGAAAGAGGCTTACGGTTCATTCCCTAAGGCAATATTTATATGACTAGGGAATGAGTTGATGTGATCTAACCATGATTAGGCTCCTTTATTGAAGTGGCCCAATTGCACATTTTATAACATTTCCTAATGAGTCTAGTCTACTAAGGGCATCCACATTGTTTAGATTATTTAGAGTTTAATTGGATGATGTGTAAGATTATTTTAAAGATTATCATTGTGAGTGAGGGATTATTTAGAGAGATTATTGAAAAAGATAATCCGGTATCAAGATTTGAATCCCGGATTATTTTAGGTTGTAGTTAAATTTCATTTAATGCATGGTCTAGAAAAACTAAATTATTTGATTATCATGGTTGATGGAGAGTTTTAAGATTTGAGATTATTTAAAATTTATTTAATAAATATGATGTGTCAATGATGTGTCATAGAAAAATTATTTATTTTAAGATCATGAATGGAGATGCTCTAATACTAGTCTATTAAATACATTCAAGAGATAGTACGAAAATAACATCGACCACAATAAAATATTTCCCAACAAATGCCCTTAAAAGTGTTTGGACGACCACCACATGCTGCCGGCCGCTAGAACGCCATAGCCTATCGCTAGAAAGATGTTGCCGCCAATTTGCTGCCACAACCGGACTACTCCATCACCAACAGACTAATTAACCTTGGATATGCAACAGAACTAGGGGGACAATTCATTGTATTGATTTAACTAATTACATTAGAAATAGAAGGTAATCTTTCGTTCTGTTTAGGCCGGGAACAAAAAAAACATTGAGCGTATTTGCGCGTTTAGGTTTAGTTCTATTTAGCGCTAGACGGCTACTACCAATGGTCATCGAATTGCCGCCTCCACGGGCAGTGCCTATCCACCACCCTAAATCCTAACCCTAAACTCTAAATACAAGGATACTTTTATCCATAGTTTGCACCCATGGAATGATTTATGATATGTTAGGGTGATGCTGGACTGAAACCCGATGGAACTTAAATTTTTTTGTTTAAACTTTTTCATTTTCCATATTTATATAATTGATACACATCGCTAATGTTTAAACCTAGTAGTAGAGTTACATATCAACCTATTCCAACTCAAATTTCCAGATCCGGCCATGCATACACAATACGTAATATGTCACTCCTGTTTAAATAAAAAAATTAAAAAATGAACTCTTAGCTTGTGTAGGCTATATTTTACTCCTATATATTTCAGGCAATTTAATTTCTTTACAAAAAAGGATGTATTCTACCATCTACATTCCTTATCGTCAAATTCCGTTAGTATGCTCACACTTCTCCTCATCGGCTCCTCCTTCCTTCCTGCATTCATCATCACAACTAATGCCACCTAATATATGGAGGACCAGTCTACCTTCCACCATTTATCCAGATAGGATAGGACCCCTCAAGATAGTACCAATTAGAGCTTTCCTCCAATGAGCTACCATTGAGTCACAACATCGATTAAGGATTTGGCTACCCGATAGTAGAGTTGGTCTTGGTATAAACGGTCACATGCAGATTGAATCAATAGTGACCGCACTAGGTCATGTGAAACACGTTGGGGATCTCATGCATTATTGGACTTTTACTAGTTTGATGACTCAGTTTCTTATCTCTAAAAGATAACACCCCATCTTTGAGGAACCTTCATCATCAGTCGGACCGCTAACTGGTAGGATGCAAATTAGACTAGCTTTAAGCTCAAGCTAACCGATAACGAATGAAACTCTTACTCAGATACTTCTAGAGGGTCTATACATTTTTACATAATAATCTTTAACCGCAGTTGTCGGGATTCGAACTCGAAAGTCATGACACACCTTAACACCTATCTATCGGTTGAGCTATGTCAGCCTTTATTTGTGAATTTTGTGAATAAACGGGAAAAGGTGCCCTCAATAGGAGCCCTGGATGTCTATTTATAATAAAAGAGTTTAATACAGAATAGGAAACAAATCTTCCTAATAATATTCTATTACACCCCCTCAAACTGTGCGGGAGATACAACGCGCAGGTTGTCTTTCAAAAAATGAAATTGCTGACTAGAAAGACTTTTGGTAAAAATGTAAGCTAACTGTAACTGAGTAGGGATGTACTTCACAATTAGATCTCCATAAGCCACACGCTCCCTGACGAAGTGATAGTCAATCTGAATGTGCTTGCTACGAGCATGCTGAACTGGATTAGCAGTGAGATAGGAAGCAGAAATATTATCACAAAAAAGCTGGACCGGCGTAGTAATGGGATGGCCGAGCTCAAACAATACGGAACGAATATGCAGGGTATCCTGAACAGTGTAAGCAAAGGCCCTGTATTCAGCTTCTGTAGAGGATTTGGAGATAGTAGGCTGCTTTTTGGACTTCCAGGAGACAAGATTCGGACCCAAGAAAACTGCAAAACCAGTTGTGGAACGAGACGTATCTGGACATCCAGCCCAATCAGCATCAGAGTAGGCAATGACACAAGTAGCTCGAGATGTAGGCTGAAGCCACAAACCATGCTCAATAGTCCCCTGCAAGTATCTAAAAATCCTCTTGACAGCAAAAAGATGAGTAGTGCGAGGAGCATGCATAAACTGAGACACTAAATGCACAACATATGTAATATCAGGTCGTGTCAAAGTTTGATATTGTAATGCACCAACCATACTACGATACTCAGTAGCATCAGCAAGAAGTTCCCCATCAGTGAGGGATAAAGAAGTGCGAGTAGCAAGCGGAGTACGGACAGACTTGAGAATATGGAGATGAAATCGAGATAAAAGGTCAGAAACATACTTATGCTGGGATAGGAACAAACCTTTATCTGAGCGGACAGCCTGGACTCCTAAAAAATAATGAAGATCACCGAGATCCTTCATAGCAAAATGCTGAGCAACAAGCTGAATAAAAGAAGTGATAGCAGCAGAAGAATTGCCAGTAATAATGATGT